TAATTAATTTCAAAACATAATTAAAAGCCCTTATGATTTGGCCGGAAAAGCTTAAGTTATTTATTTGTAGAGTTATTTATAGAACATTTATAAAAAAAGTCGACACAGGCAGGGGCTATGGGAGCTATGGTCAATATTAAACCGATCCAGGTATTAACTGGTAATATTTTTTTAAACTTCTTTGTAAACGGCCAAGTGGACGTCGATTAGTTAAAAACATGATGGTATTGGAAATGGGCTTAATATTGCCGGGATTTAAGGTATCCCTCATATAAATGTGCCTTAAATTTGTACAGTCAGACTTGTATTAATTTTGTAGTAATATGATAAAACTTAATGATTATTTTTAAATTCCTAGAATTGTTTCTGTAGTTTTGCTTTTTTAGAAAATGAAAACGAAAAATTCTTTCGAAATGAAACCACTCTCAGTTTTTAAAGTTATATGTAATTAATCTTTTTGCTTAAAGTTTCAATAACAAGAACCTTTACTAAAATACGATTCTAGTTTTGATAAGCTTAACAGAATCAATTTTAAATAAAATCAATATAATTTAAATTTTTTTGTGAACTGACTACATAATTCGGAATTTGAAGAAGCTGAAACAAAATCGATCGGAATAATAATACGGAATTGAGACCATTCCGATCGAAATGTGTGACAGACCTGTATAAAGTGTAACAAAAATAGGTTCACATTTCACTCCAATTCCCACAAAAAATTGCTTTAAAGTTCACAGTTAACTTTAAAAATATGTTTGTCATAAAGTCCCGTTATTATTTTGACATTACACTACATTGATGACAAGTTACATTAATTTAGTAGCATGATTTCATTAAATGTTCGCGATTGGCTTATTTATTAAATGACGAATAACAATAAAGTAATGATAAAATCATTGTATTTACTACAAATTATCATTAACAGTATTTTTGTCATAAAGTCCCGTTATGATTTGTTGTATAATTTTATTTTATATAACTTTTTTTGTGTTTTTTCAATATTTAATCCAAACAAAATCGAAAACAAAAAAAATTATTATTACTACGTAAGTATTTCATTAAATTTTTAAGGAGTGCTGTATTTCTTACAAATTTTACCATATTTACACAAAAACAATTAGGATTTTCCAAATGAGGTTTTTTATACAAAAAAAAATGGGACACATTTGTTATTTGTGTTATATTTTAACTCCCTTTATCCCAATATCTAGTTACATTTTATCGTAAGGTTAAATTGACAGTTTTCATACAAAAAATATTTTAACCGGCAGAATATCTATAGGTTAAATGATAACCGGAGGTGGAGTTAACTGGGCATAGTTATATTTTATCGTACGGTTAAATTGACACTTTTCATACAAAAAAAAAAATTTTAACCGGCAGAATATCTACAGGTTAAACGGTAACCGGAGGTGGAGTTAACGGGGCTGAATGTCACGATCAAGTATTACGTAATATTAACACTACGTAAACAGGTAAACGTAAAAGTTTAATTGGGGTAAATTTTAATTTTTTATAGCTACAATTAAAAACTTCAATTCAGTCAATAAGTCCACTGTGCTCGCACAGTAGTTCATAAATCCATAACTTTTGATTATATTGTAATATTTAAACGCAGTTTATTTTTTGTTGGAAAAAAAGGTATGGAGGGTTAAAGTTAACTTTTTTCGTTTTTAGTCGAATTTTAGTATAAAGTGAAGCATTATGTTCTAGTTTATATTTTTTAGTTGACATATATTATTTTAAAATAATTTTTTAACTTTAATCTTATCAGAAAATGCCAAACTTTGGCCCTAATTCTAATAAAACTTTTAACTTCTAATATTCACAGAGGCCAAAGGTTGATTTTTTTTAAACAGGCTGAGTTTAAATATAATTTATAAGGATGACAACAATTTGATATGATTTTATGTGTAACCGGGACATATGCAGACTAAAGCTAGAATGCTTAATTTTTGCACGAACAGCTTTGACATACATCTTAACATTTGTTCAATGAATTGGCGGATTATGGGGGCGTGATCCTTCCCATATAAATTAAATAAAAAAATCATATATCCGGGAAACCTTTAGAGCTATAACCCTCAAATCTTTCCACGGGCAACATAAAAATTTATGTGAGCAATTTGGAAAAAAATTACCTGACTAGCATGCCAAATGCCTTCAATATAAATTAAATACACAAATTTTTTCATCTGGACTATTGGGACTTTGATGCTGTACGAATATTTATTACCCATGTAAACATTTGGGAAATAAATTTTGGGATTAGCAATAGGGGACATGACACCTCCCATGTGAATTAAATACAAAAATGTATACATCTGAGGAGCAATTAGAGATGGAAATCTAAAATTTTGCCCGTGTAACACTGTAAACTTGTAATAGTGGGCGTTGCATCTACCATATATGTATATTAAACACTCAAGTTCTTCAACATTTGGACGTGTACTTTAAGTTTAAAAATAATCATGTGATTGGAGAATAAGTGGACTGGAAAGTAGGCGAAGCACCTCCATGTCACATGGACATGTCATCTTTCATACAAAATAAAAAATGTTATATCTTAGGAACTAAGAAAGTATGTAAATTGTACAAATACTTTCACTGAATACAAAAATGGGCAAAAGGAAAAATGAGCATTTCAAAAATTTTCGAACGGTTTTGTACCTTACCCTTTCCGATTTCGATTAAACTTGGTACTCACATTCTTTGTATAAATACGAAGTTTAAAGTTCTCCATTTCCAAATTCATTGCGGTTTAGATTTTATGAAGATTCAAATTTCAATTTTAAGATTAAACAATCATTAAATTTTGACTTCGTATATTTTGTAACCTATTTATCCAATTTTATTCGCTTTAGTCCTTAATTAAGGCCTATGTTTTGTAGTTTGACAGAATTTTATTTCAAATATTATAGCTATAACGTCCTTTAGTAAAGTATATCTCAAAAAAGGTACCTTCCATTTTCTTTATTCCTTCATATAAGATTGCTTGCAGGGATAATGAGGGGATCTCAAGTAATCCAACTTTTAGTAAAATAATCCATATCATTTCCACACAAATTTCAAAATTTATAATTTTATTCCTTGATGAACACAAAAAGGTCTGACAAAATAAAAATAGTCTATTAACAAAAACTTATATATTTTTAAAATTTGTATTGAAATGATGTGAATAATTTTATGACACTATAAGCTACTTTTGGTGAAGGAAGACAAAAAATGGAAGGTACCTTTTTTGAGATATCCTTCACTCAAGGACAATTTTGAATATAATTATCCTTTTATTAAAACTATAATATTTTAAGAATAGTAATATTAAACTACAATATACTGGCTTTAATTAGCGACTAAAACGATTAAAATCGGATATATAGTTTAGAACATATAAGATGTCAAATTTAATGCTTGTTGAAAAAAGTCCTAAAAAATATGAACTTTGAACATCGATAAAATCTGAACTATAACGAATAATTTATGTGCCGAATTTCATTGAAATCGGAGGGGGTCATGTTCAAAATCCTACTTTTTTGTTCGAAATTTTTTAAAATTACTTAATATGAAAAATTATAAGGGGATTTTTAATTTATCGTTAGCTTAGTACGCAAACGTAACAAGTCCTCTTTTGTAAATTTTATAGAAGAAGCAAAAAACTTCATAACTTTTTCTTTATTTCATATTTTTAAAATCTGTAAACGCAGTTATCTTCTTAGATTTCTCCTTTTTTAATATCACTTGTGAAACAATTTAAAAATAATGCTGTTGAATACTTATGGTGGCTTTTTTAGGACTTAGCACGTTTTCTTTTTCTGAATTTTTATTTTTTGCTGGACTTAGCACATTTTCTTATAACATTTTCCTTTCTATTTCTATTTTGAAGATAATTTGATGTAATTTGACACACATGTTTTGCTGTGTCTTTAAGACGAAGTGTATAAAATTTAGTAAGTGTAGATCCACGATTTCTCATGGTCCTCATACAAGTGGCTTCTAGAAAACGCAAATAAATGTGATGAGTAGCTAGTAATCGTGATAAAATTTGGACCAAGTTATTTTTTTGTTTTCAAAAATTATATAGTAAGGAATATATCGGGTTTTATTTGATCCTAGCCCCCATATAAGATCCCATTCAGAAAAATATTTTAATGCTCATAAATGCATTAAACATATCAGTGAAGCTTCGAAATTCTATATAGACAAAACTTTAATGAACATAAATCGCTACACTAATTTTTATACATTTGACCATCGCTCCCTAATAAAGTACCCTTGAAAAAATTACTCTAATGCTTATAACTGTATTTAAAATAGCAGAATAGTGATGAAATCCGACAAAAACAAGATTTATGGAACCACAAAAACTATTTACGTCATTTCATGAGGATAGGGCAATGTTTTACCCAACGCCCATTGATTTTAAAGCGCACAACTGGCTTAAAATAACGATATAGTGATGCAATTCAAGTTTAACAAGTTTTAAAGGAACCAAAATTTCTTTACTAACTACTATGAGATTCGGTCCATAATTTACGCTATCATTCTTCTTAAATAAAATCAGTTTTTTGTCAATATTTACTTGTTTTATTTTATTTTAAAATAGTATTCCATAATTTCGTACTCAATCGAAGATTTTACAAACTATAACTATTTTCTAGACGATGATGTACAAAATGTTTGATATTTCTTTTTACATGACTAATTAATGCCTTTATAATAGCAAATTGAAAGGACTTGGCACTTTTTCTTTGTATATTTTTATTGTTTTGAGAACTTAGCACGTTTGCATACCACAGCAAAAATACATGTTTAAAGTAAAAATAAGGTAATTTCTTGATTGTAACATGTGTATTTCAAGATATACTACCATTCTGCATTTAAATCTCAATTTCTATAAAACGTGGACTTGTTACGTTTGCGTACTAAGCTAACGTTATATTGTTACTAGGGTAGCGAAGCACACTGGGTATATCTAGTAGTATATTATTCAAAATTTTTACCTTAGGAGTTGTCCACCAAGATCAAACAGATTCATGCTTGCAATTGCTTCATCCATGGCTTGTTTATTTGCATATTCAATAAATCCATAACCCTTGTGTGTGTGTAGAGAAGTTCCTTGGGCCAGTTTACAGTACAGAATTGGTCCAAAAGCTTCGAACACGCTTTTTATATCTTCTTCAGATAAATCTGGGTGGATAGAGGCCACGTAAATCCTGTTGAAATTTTTTGCTTCTTCTTGTATTTCATCTATTACTTGTTGGGCTTGTGGCATATTACTGGGTCGACCTACTTTAATGTTACGACCACCCATTAAAGCTCCATTCATTTGTTCCAATGCCAGCTGAGCACCTTCGGGTATTTCGTATTCAACGAAGGCAAATCCTTTATGCTTTTGTGTTATTGGGTCCCATGACATATTAATGGATTTTATAGGACCGAATGGAAGAAAGGCTGCTCTTATCGTATCTTCTTTAAGTTCAAATGATATACTTCCAACATAAACCCTACAATGATTGTGGAATTAAAACAACATTGTTAAATTTATATATATTTAATTTTTTTATTTTTATTGTGAGATTATTTCAGATCTTATCAGCTTTATGTGGTTCATTATATTATTGTTACTCAATTTCAGTTCTATAACTTGAACGAAGAAATTGTATGTACTAACAATATTAACCATGTTATAAATTCATCATTACAATTTTTTTTTTTGCTTTTCATTTATAAACAAAAATTTTATTCTGGAATCAATTAACTAGTATCGGTTTGAAATATTATCCAACAAACGACAAAAATATAATGTCAAATTATAAAATTTTTAATATAATCTCTAAATTAAAATAAAAATGTTCTATTAAATTGTGTATAATATATATTAAATAATATGATTGATTTATAAACTAAATCAACTTTTAGTATGTTCTCGAGTTAAAATATAATATAAATATAAAATATGTATTTAAAGATTTTAAGAAAGAAATTTATTAAAGTTAGATGAATGATTTGTTTGTTTTCTTATTAAAATTATTTAATTCCCATGTGAAAACTTCTGAACATTTTCGAGTAAGTAATTTTGTTGACAACCAATTCCAGTTCTCTATGTATTTTGAAAATAATCACAATATTCCTTTATCTAAAGATTTTTACGTTAAAAGATATATCTTTTTTTAAATCTTGTACATATAACATTTAAATTATTACATATTAAAAATATCCGAATATAGAATATTTTGCGACAAAATTAACATCACTATTGCACATTTTCTTAGTTTTACTTTTTATTATTGCAATTTTTGATAAATTATTGCAATTATTGATAAATATCTAATATATTATTATATTTAACATACATACATATGTATGTATATACTATGAAATAGAGAAATAAAATGATTTTGGCCATCATTTGGTTGACAGAGGTGCATTTCCAAATTGCCTAAAAATAGTGCTGGCCAATTGAAATATTGTCAAATGTCCATCTATTAATCCAATGTTACCTATATTAGAAACTTTTTCTCAAAATATAATCTTTTAAATTTTACAAATTTGTAAACGATAAAATTATAAATTTTATATTTTTTTTTAAAAGAAATCATAATTAATTTTCGATATCAACTAAAAATAACGAAAAAAGCTGAGTTCTGAGAAAAAAGTTAAAAATCAACATATTGTTGGCTTAAAGTAGGGTTGAGCCTATAATAAAATTTAATTTATAATTTGTTATTTTGCAAAAAAGGTTCAATTAGTCGTCTTATGCATATGTTTGCCAAATATACATTAGAGTGTCCCGAGCAGTGATGCCAGGAGAATTTTTTCAGAAATCCCTACGCTTATGAGAAAAAATCCCTTTTTTCCCTACACCCACTTTTTATTTTCCCTACATTTTTCCCTACACTACTTTTTTCAATTTTTTTCCAAGTTTATCTTAAAAAAATACAAAAATAACATAAAAAACTAAAATATTAGCTGTTTTTAATTTTTAGGAATGAAATTTCTAGAATTTAAATTTTTAATTTTTTACTTTCAATTTTACATCATACAAATCTTCCAACCCTGACTCTTCAGTTAAGATTAAAAAAAACAAGACAATTGAGAGATTTATAGCAGTATCACGATTCGATGTTAAAAATGTATTTTATGTGCTCCCAACAAAAAGATGTCATAAAATTTAATATAATTATTTTAAATAAGGTTTACTTTTGCGTTTACTTTTTGCGGTTTACTTTTATAAATCTCAGAACATGAAATTATTTTTTTCAATCCTGAGTTACTGCATTAAGCCCCCGACTACTCTATCTATAAAGAGTCAGAATATATCGCCCTACAGGATTGGCATAATCCAAAAAAGTAGTTTGAAGAAAAATGGATATGAATATTTAATGACATTTAACTATTTTCTTTGATAACTTTTAAATAAATTAAGGGATTTTAAAAATCCAAATTCAGATAGTTGAGGTTAATATGTTTCTCATCTAAATTGAAATTCAATTTTTAGTTGTCTAATATTCACGAAAACGCGGGTTTTAGTTTTTACGTTTACAAAAAATCGTTTTCACATCGAAAATAATAGACATATTAGAAATTTGATAAATCTATATGAAAGATTTTAGTATGTCGCATGTTTTGTAGACGTCAGTTCAAGAAACCCGAATTTTGGATTATGCCAGGCTTGTAGCGATATGTAGGTACACATATTGTAGAAATTACAAGCGGAATTTTTACTAACGATACACTTAAAATTGATTTCATTTTTAATTTTAAAGTTTAATACATGAAAGAGTATATTTTTATTTGATAAAAACTATGAAATTGAAAAAATTCCTACAACTTAACAATAGTAAGAAATCTTTCCCTTTTTCCCTACACGTGAAATTTTTGAAAAAAATCCCTACAAAAAGGGAAAAATCCCTACACTTGGCATCACTGGTCCCGAGGAACAGCCTTTTTAAGAATTTCATGTAGGAATACCACTCAATCGATGCGTATTAATGTAGTGAACACGAGAAAAATATCAACAAGTAAGAGTGTTATATTCGGCAATGCCGAATCTTATATACCCACCATCAAACCTCGTTTGACTAGAATGAAACTTACTTATGTCGAACTTCATCTATATACTCGTATTTTTTAGGCCAGTTATAAGCGTTAAAGTAATTTTCTGAAGGGGACCTTATATAGGGGGTAGGGTCAATTATGGGTCGATCCTAATATAATTTGGTAGACAGAATTTGGTTCGTATTAAATTTATTTGTGTCGAATTTCATCGCTACACTCGTATTTTTAAGCCATTAATGAGCGTTGCAGTCATTTTCTAAAGGGGACCTTATATGGGGGGTAGGGTCAATCATGGACCGATCCTCATAAAATTTTTTAGATAGATTTTGACTCGTATGAAACTTACTTATGTCGAATTTCATCTATATACTAGTATTTTTAAGCCAGTAATGAGCGTTAAAGTCATTTTCTGAAGGGGACCTTATATGGGGGTAGGGTCAATTATGAACCGATCCTCATAAAATTTTGCATAATGATGTTGGATCATAAGAAACTTCCTTATGTCGAATTTTATCGCTATATTCGTATTTTTAAACAAGTTATGGCTGTTAAAGCAGCTTTTCGAGGGGCCACTTGTATGGGGGCTATCAGAAAATGTGGACCGATATTGCCCATTTTCAATACCAAACAATCCTTACCTGTTAGAAATATTTATGTGAAATTTCAACTCTCTAGCTCTTTCCATTGGGACTCTATCGTGCTTTCAACAGACAGACAGACAGACAGACAGACGGACGGACAGACATGGCTAGATCGACTTAGAATTTAATGAGAACCCAGAATATATATACTTTTGTGGGTCTATGACCAATATTTCGATGTGTTACAAACGGAATGACAAAATCAATATACCCCCCATCTTTTTGATGGTGGGTATAAACATTTTTTTGGAATATTCCTCAGTTCCCTACCAACGATTGTATAATTTTAGTATAATTTTTAGTATAATTTTTGAAAAATAAAATATTTTAGATTTTTTCGAAATTGGTCTCAAAAAATCCGCAATTTTAAGCTGATTACGGAAAAAAATATTTTTAAATTTTTGTAGAATATTTTTGGTCCACAAAAATCATTTTTTATCGAAATGGGTGTCAAAATTGCTGTAATTTTTAGCACATACAGAAAAATATTAAAAAAAATAATTTTGCATTTGGTTTAGTCATTTCAGAATTTTTTGAAATTTATATGCCCCTATAATACAATAAAAGTCGTTTTGCAGACCAGAAATACACTACCAAAATTTTTTATTATTTTTCCCGCGACAAGCTCAAAATTACGGAATTTTTTACACTTAATTCGAAAAGCTTCCAGAACATTTTTTTTAACATATTGTACTGAGATCAAGATTTTCAATTATTTTCCTCGTATTTAGTACATCGAAACGCATCGTTTTAGAGGTATTCCTCCATATGGGTCATTTCGTGTCAAGAGACCCAACTTTAAAAATCTGTCTTCCGATGACAACGTCTATTTTGAAATCTTATTCTTAAGTTAAAAAATATTTTCTTTGATAGATATCCCACACGCATCCCATTATGGGACTATAAAGCCCTGCAAGGAAATTGTATAATCTTTCTTTTAAGCAAAAAAAAAAAATCCCATTTTGAAAAAGAAAAATATTTAAAAAAAAATATTTTTATATATATATATATATATTTTTTTTTTTGAAAGAATGAAGAAAGAGCTCCTTTGGACAATTTTTGCTAGGACCAAAGGTGAAAAGTTACACTCATTTCAATAAAACCTTCTGACTCCGGCAGTTCTTGACCGATAGAGCTGACAGTTTGTGTCCATAGTGCTAACCTTGGTGCAAATTTAATTCAAATCGGAAGACATTGATTTGTAAAGTTGGGTCACTTGAGACAAAATTTCTCATATCCAAAACGGCGTAACAACCAAAAAATTTAATATCGACTTTTTGATTGAAAATGGTCCACCGCATCAAAATAAATACTGTCGCAAATTTTTGAACTCTATTGTCAAAAACATCGATTTTATTAACATGAATTTGAAAAGGGCGTAATAACCCAGCAAAATCTTTGCTTACAATGATTACCATTAAGTACTTCATTAATGACTTACTTTGTAGGCAACGTCTAAAATAAATCAAAATAAAGAAACAAACAAAAATTAAAACAGTTAGTTTTTCTGTTTTTTTTCCTTTTTTTGTGCACACGATATCAAATGTCTATTTTTAGACAAACAGAAAATAAAATAGTATTTGTGTGGGAAAACTATTATTTGACGCACAATAAAACAACAAAGCAGTGGTGTAGTAAGAGTAGCATTCAACTGGTAGACGGAAGGTACTGAGTTCAACCCCAGTCTGTGTCGACTTTTTATTTTTATTTTTTCATAAATATTCTATAAATAACTCTACTAAAAAACAACTTATTTCCAACCAAATAATATTGACTTACTTTTGGAACATCTCAAACAAAAATAAGTACTTTTTCTAGTAGAATTGTAAGCACTTTACTCGATGAGTTCTGGTGATTTTTCTAGTGAATTTGTAAGCAAATATTTTGCTGGGAACAAGTTAGTCATTTCCACCCGCCAGAAAGTCCTAAAAAGCAACATTATCTATTACGTCATATAGTCATAGTCAAATTTGCATATAATGTTGATGTAATGCAAAGTTAATATGAAATGCACGTTAATATTCTTCGAAGTTACTATTAAATAGGGTGGAAGGAAATACAGATATCACAATTATGTTGATCAGGCACAACATAGGTTTCCATTTTGTGCTATATAAAAGCGATTATCGATAAGAAAATCTAAAGCACTAAGTAAAATTTATCTTTTTAGGATATAGAACTTCCAATTACTTCCGTTTATCAAAATTATGTACTGTGAATTCTTAAATCTAATCTACTATCCAGAAAACCATTACGATATTTTTAAAAATGCTTTTCCTCGGGACACCCTAATAATAGTATGTACTCATGCATGCATGTTTGTATATTTGTATGTACTATGTATAAATTTGTTTAACACACTTACCTGCACATTAGTGCCAAAGCCTGCTGCCTCTGCACTTGTGTTCGTTGTGAAGCCAATTGCTGAAAATGAAAAAAATACGTATTTAATTAATAGATCCAATTTAAATAAACCTTAAATTAATTATTCTTCGTTTAAGTTAAAACTGGTGTATCCTTATGTAGAACCTCTTTCTAAACACGAATTCGCTAATGATTTTCCTGAAAAACGCACTGTGTTCTAAAAAGGAAATGTACGAAAAATTACGATACTACCTAAGACAATAGAGGCTTTTTTAATCACTGGATTTATTTTGGATTTAATTTATTTCAAGAAAAAAACTATCTTTGGAAGCTGAAATTTAGTTTAGGCCATCATTATCTAAAAATACATTGTGTAAGCTAATACATATATGGTCAAAGACAAAATAATATTGGATGTGGATTTATATCTATAACTATGTATATGTATTTTGAGCTTTTATAAAATACTAAAGATTTTTTTAATTTCATATATCATGAATTCCATGAGAAATCAATTAAGAATTGACCGATGGTCTTCAGATTTCTTTAATTTTTTGTAAACACATACACTATTAGACGCATAAAACATATTAACGTTAAATTCTTAAAAATTTCAAGAAACGCTATTTTTATTGCGATTTTAATTTGTTCGAAAACTACAAAAAATCAAAAAGGTATAAGACTTTGAACGTCTATATCTTTGAGAGTTTATATCGGATTTTTTTGATTTAGAACCCAATCTATTACTATGCATGAGCTCTTTCATTCTAATATAATTTTTATATTAAAAAGTTTAAGATAGTGCATTTTTTAAAGAAATGCACTTTTTGAAATCGTTCTCCCTGTTTAAAATTTTTTAAAAGTGCATAAGTCGATTATTTGAAGCTTTTTATGCAAAATATAAAAATATTTTGTTGTGACGTGCATTACATCTATTTTTGTCGATTTTTTAAATGATTTATATTGAAAAATTTTTAAACTTTATTGATATTTTATGCATTTAACATAATGTAAAACTGTTTAAAATACATTACTGATCACAATTGGGATGCAAATATTTAAATTCGATTACAACTAATGTACACATTCATAAAAAAGCATTTCTAAATAATATTTGTTAAGAAAAATGCATTTTTATTGCAAATGCACATTAGGTGCATTTTCTACATTTTACTCCATGTTTAACATATCTTGTAAGGGCATTATTGATAAATTTATATAAAATAAAAAATTATATATTTTTTATGGGCATTTGAACTAACTTAAATTAAAAAAAAAATATTTTCAAAATATCGCGAAAAATGATAAGTGCATATTCGTTTAATATAAAAAATTATTTTATATAATATAAGTAGTAGTTTTTAAAATCTGTTAAATTCTTAAAATATCAATAAAATTTAAAAATTTTACAATATAAAACATTTTAAAAAATCGAAAAAATAGATGTAATGGACGTCACAAAAATATATTTTTATATATTGCATAAAAAGCTTCAAATAATCGACTTATGCACTTTTAAAAAATTTTAAACAGGGAGAACGATTTCAAAAATGCATTCAAAAAGTGCATTTCTTTAAAAATGCACTATCTTAAACTTTTTAATATAAAAATTATATTAGAATGAAAGAGCTCATCCATAGTAATAGATTGGGATCTAAATCAAAAAAATCCGATATAAACTCTCAAAGATATAAAGGTTCAAAGTTTTATACCTTTTTGATTTTTTGTAGTTTTCAAACAAATTAAAATCGCCATAAAAATCGCGTTTCTTAAAATTTTTCAAAATAAACAACGGAGTTGTTCTATTTTCTACTTAAAGAACATATATTGACAATATGAAGGAAATTGGAAGACATGAGATCAAAAATTGTCAGTTTTTCTGTGTTCTTTCCTGGAATTCATGATATACTAAATTTTATTAGAGAATTTTTAAAACACTTTCGAAGAAATTAAGAGAGATTCGGATAAAAAACATATCGATTTTTCTCATAGAAAAAAATTAAAATTTAATTTATATTCCTCAGTGATTATATGTATGTATGTGTTATTAGGAAATATTTCAATAGATTTTAAAAAATAAAAAAAATATTAAAAATTTGCTTCAAAAACATGATATTTCTTAAAATCTTTTTTTTTACTGTTTTATTAAAAATTCTGAAAGTTCAGGAAAATCCTCTATAGTAGTCATTATTAAATTCATATATTAGGGCGGTCTCATTTGTATGAAGGAAATTAAAATATTTAAATTTTTCCTACTAAACTTCAAATATATACCGTGGCGAAGGTATTTGATTATCTGTATGTAGGCATAAATGCCCTTTTTAAGGTTTTATGATTTTTTTTTCATATTTTTGATTTACCAATTTTAAAATTGGAAATTTAAAATTATATATATTTTTAAATTAATAAAAAATTGATATCCTTATATACAATACATATTATATAAAATAGTCAAAGCTTTTTCTCTTTTATAACATTTTTAGAAGCTTTTAATAGTTGGGTTACAAATTTTGTAACTGAATTTTCGACCAGTTCCCGTAGCCCGATTTGGTTGAAATTTGGCACACAGAAAGACACCTGATGACAATGTTATGTTCAAAAAAATCGAAACATAATTCGAAAATTCGGAGTTATGTTAGTTTTTTTGTTGAAACCACTTCCCGTATATGTTGAAATTTTTAATATATGTATGTCGACATCTGATAACAATATAATTTTATATTCGAATTTTCAAAATTCCATTCGAAAATTTGAAGTTATATTCGAAAAAAATAATTCTCTGTGGTTTGTGAATTTCAAAGCAAAATTAAAAAAAAAAAAACAAATCCAATTTTATTGGTTTGTTATAATTTCCATTTTTTAAATTAAATTTATCTTACCAATTTAGCTTGAACACAAAATTTAACTTTTTATCAAACCGAAAGTTCATTTTACCATAAGTCTATAGTTTTGCCACCTACATATTGATGTATCATGCTAAAAAAGTTCAATGCTCAACTAATTTGATTCGAAAATATGTGCCTTAGGGGTATTATAGAGTCAATTTTTGAGTTTGTTACAGAAATGTTACACGGGGCGGTAAAGGGTTAGATTTTCCACATATAGTAGGGATATAGGCGAAACTGAAGGGGTTGTCAAACAAAATTTGTTATTCTCTTCACACAGACGAGTTCTGAGAGAATAAAACACACTTGAAAGATCTAAACGCACTCACAAAACTTCAAATTTTCTTCGCGAAATTGCGAGGATATTAGCACATAATAGTTTTTCTTATCACTTAAACTTAATATTAATTATTTTTTTGCCACACTTTTATAATTCATATTTTACAAACGAAAAAAAAAAAATATTTTTTATCCTTTGACATTTCACTTTAATTAAAACTGAAAAAAGAAAAGTTGTAAATTTTAGTATTGAAAATGAAAAAAGTATTTCACATACTTTTTTTCTTTTTTTCCATTAGTGCAGAAAAAATAACAAAAAAACGTGTTTATAATATGTTTTAAGATGAAATATCTTCTGGAAAAAAATTAATTAACTAATATTTTCATTCACTAGTATATGAAATTCTACAAAAAATAACGTATCAAAAATACATTTATTATTTAATACCATTTGAACAACTGTGCTTATTTCTGTGCTTCTACTAATACATTCTCACCAGTTAGGTTTTTGACAGGGGACTTAGGTCTTTGACAATTCCTTTCGCCTATATGCTACTATATGATTTTCCATTTAAGAATTTTCACTAAAAATTCAATAAAGCCCAAAACAAAATTATATTTTTGATTTAAAAAATAGAAACGCTTAAATTAAATTAAGAATTTTTACTTAAAATTAGAGAAGCATAATTAAAACGGTTTTTTCCATTTCGGAAACCAATAACTGAAATATGATTTTTAATTTTTTCAGGTAGCCTTGATTAAAAAAATTACATGTATTTTGTTTTATTTTATTTTATTTAGAAACACGTTCTTAATAATATTAAGTTAATATTTAGAAGAAAATCAATAAGAAAGAATATTTTTCTTTTTACATTCGCACTGTTTGTTTTTATTCAATAATAAAAACAATTCCAGCATTTTTTCTTACGTTTTCATTTAAAATCAAACATAAATTATATTATACTATCTACCTACCTACCTACTATCTATCTATCTATCTATCTATCTATCTATCTATCTATCTATCTATCTATCTATCTATCTATCTTATCTATCTATCTATCTATCTATCTATCTTATCTATCTATCTATCTATCTTCTATATCTATCTATCTATCTATCTATCTATCTATCTATCTATCTATCTATCTATCTATCTATCTATCTATCTATCTATCTATCTATCTATCTATCTATCTATCTATCTATCTATCTATCTATCTATCTATTCTATCTATCTATCTATCTATCTATCTATCTATCTATCTATCTATCTATCTATCTATCTATCTATCTATCTATCTATCTATCTATCTATCTATCTATCTATCTATCTATCTATCTATCTATCTATCTTATCTATCTATCTATCTATCTATCTATCTATCTATCTATCTATCTATCTATCTATCTATCTATCGAGCGATAGCGATCGATCGCTAGCTAGCGATCGATCAGCTAGCGATCTATCTATCATCTATCTATCTATCTATCTATCTATTCTATCTATCTATCTATCTATCTATCTATCTATCTATCTATCTATCTCATCTATCTTAATCTATCTATATCTATCTATCTATCTATCTATCTATTAAAGTTAGAATCTTAATCTTGGCCATATTATTTAAATATAAAAATTCGTTTGTCTGGGAAACTAATGGAACTAAATTCTTCAAATTTTGCACGAAGACCTTAAATATTCATCTGAACATTTTGGAGAAAAAAAAAAAGCGGACTTTCATCTGGGGGGGGGCTTAAAGCCCCCATATGAATTAAATAGAAAAATTCGTTTATCTGAGAAACTATTAGAGCTAGAATCTTCACATTTTACTTGAATAATTTTGAATATTTAGAGTGTAACGGGCGGACTTTCAATGGGGAACTTGGCACATC